TATACACTGTACATATATATTATTTTAAATGTCTAAGACTCACTTCTGATTAATAAATATATGTATGAATATCAAACTGGTCAGAAATCATGGATTTGTATGGAAAAACACTTGTGAAATGCAAAATACTTAGTTTAAGCCACTGGTTTAGTCATTTAAATTAGTTATCTATTTTAAATTTCCAAAACTTTAAAATTCACAACTTCCTCAGCTTTATTTTGAACCAGTTTGTAAAAATCGAGCAAGAAATAAGGAACTTATATGAGTTTTTCATCAGGAAGACACCTCACAGTCCATTGATCTTCATTCATTTTGGTGAGGCTCCTCAATGCATAACAGAGCTCCAGTATGTGCACGTCAAGTAGCTAGCAATGCGCTAGCCACGCCCAATCCAGTAATATACATTAATGTGGCCACTAAAACCGCAAAGTAATCTTAGCAAAACTAGTATAACTAAGTTAATTTTACAAATATTTAGGTAAAATTTGGTGTGTTAGTAGCTGGTGCTGATCCTGAACTTGAGGCAAAGTTTTTGTTTAAAACATGATTATTACAGAGAACTTTGTTAGCAAAATACCTTACCCTTGTACCGATTTTATAGGAATTTTCAGGAAACGTTGAATGTTCATCTACATTTGATTAACTTCTGATGGAAATGTAATTCAAGATGGCTGCCACAGCGCATCAACCTTTAATAAAACACCAAAATAGCTATAATTAAGTCAATTTTACAGACATTGTTCTAAAACTTGGTGTGGCTGTAGAATCATTTACAAAACATTTGATGCGAGAGCTTAGCTGAAATTTTTAGCTTTATAGTTGGAAACCAACCTGTATGATGAGCATCGTTCAGCTTTTTATTGCCAGCTTTTAAAATTCTGTTACTGGATACAAAAGTGGGTTAAATATTTAATCAAAGTAGCATTTCTTCAGCTAATAAATTCCATCTTCATTCACACATTACATGCCAAATTTTTAAACAAAGACTTTGCAAAGTACATTAAGGACAGAGGTGTGTAAAGTACTTGGAAAAAAATAACTAGGTAAAAGTGAAAATATCTCAACAAAAAATGACTTTGGTAAAAATGTAAAGCAATGTACACATTTTATTTTAAAGTCAATCTGCAAATTGCTTACTGTAACAAAGTAAAGGTACTTCATTACTATATACCATGACACTTGGCTACTACCRCAACACACTTAAACTCAGTATTTGTAAAAGATATTGGAGTTTTATCCATTTTGGAATGAAACTAAGCTTTTAGTTCAGTCATGACAAAAGACAAAGTGAGACAGATGGAGGGATTAGAGTTTACCTGCTCTGGACAGAAACAGAGACATGCCTCCCGACCCAGAGCCGGACTCCAGCACACAGTCCCCCTCCATCACATCCATCATCATCAGCATGGTGGCTGCATCCTGACAACAGAAGTCACTCATCAACATTTATGCTAAAACTGTTGAGTCTTTGAGATCTTCACACACTTCACCTTGGGGAATGTGATTGCAGGTCCTCTCTTCATGTGTAGCACATAGTCCTCCAGGCTGGCCCGACGGATGAAGATGGGAAAACCCTTGTTTGTCTTTCGGAAACAGTTTGCAGGCTGCCCGACTAGATCATCGTGCAGGATGATCCCCCGGCTGCTATGCAGATGGAAACTCTTCTGAAGCTGAAACATCTTGAAATCCATCTGATTTTTCTTTCGGTACTCAGCGACGAGCAGCTCCCCAAAACTCAGCATGGTCTCCCCCGGAAGAGAGGACATCACCTGCTTTTCCTCCAAAAGTGATGAAGCTGGTGTCTCCTCTGCTGCATGGTGGAGGTCTAGATGTTCCTCTTTAGTGACTCTGCCAGGTCCATTTTCCTGTTGTAAACAGTCTGAGTCTGATATCTGGACAGCTGCCTCTTCATTTGGTTCCTGCAGCTTCTCCTCTCTCAGCTGCATCTCCTCTGGACTCAGAGCATCCTTAGGCAGCAGGCTGCTGATCCTCTCCAGTGGAGACAGGGGTCGGCTTCTCCTGGACAGCAGACCCTGTCTGGATGTCAAACTGGTGCTCAGGCVTGAAGAATCACTGTCCTCATTGTCGTTAGACCTCACAGAAGATGTGCAAAAMGTTCTTGCAAGGGAACTCCTTTCACTCAGTTTTACAAGAATATCCCTGTTTCTGTTATGGATTTGTTTACATGTGCAAACTGCCACTAATCTTTCAATAAACAAAAACCTGAAGGGCACATGCACAAACATGACTTACAATAAACTGTTCAATCTGATGTATCTAGAAACTGAGGGGGACAAACATAAACACAAACATTATTAGCTTACAAATAATAGTTTAGTCAAAAAAATCATTAAACATTAATTTTATTCAACTTACACTCTTATAACTAATATTTCGTTCGTTCTGTGGTGTTTGTTGCAGCCAATAAATATACGGAGGTCCTTTTCGGAACGCATCATTAACAAGCACATGTGAATTACGTCATAAACAAGCGACTGGTGTAGTAAGTTAATTCTGTCTGCAGATGGCGACATCACCCCACAAAACGTATTTCTTACATCTTCTTGAACAAATATCAGTGAATTCTTTTTATTTGCATTCGTGCCTTATTTAACCAGAACGGTCCAAATTCTATTTAAAGTATCTTAAAAAGACAGTTAATTAATTATTGATTAACATGTGTTGACCTTGAAATGTTTTCTCAGGATATTTCAGGCTTTGAACATATTTGTAAGTAAATGTGTGTTTGCTTTAATTCAAAATATAAGAAAACTTTATTCTTGCATTTCAGAACTACTACTACTACTACTACTACTACTACTACTACTACTACTACTACTACTACTACTAATAATAATAATAATAATAATAATAATAATAATAATAATAATGCTCGGTTTTTAGCATACTCTTTTTAAATATATATTTTTAAACCTAAGTCAAAAAGGAAACTGCAGGCCTTCAGGATTCTACTTGTCTGGCAACCAATGGGAGGGCTGTGCGCCTGACGCTCGAATGCGCATGTCCCAACTGCACAGAGGGCCGCACGTGCGTACGTAGCAGACGCAAGCAGCGCTACAGAAATGGCGGCTGACGATGGCATTTCTTCGCTGCAGCTCCCCTGCGTTTTTTCTCCCAAATCACGACAGTACTTAGCTGTGTGCGCCCAGGATGGCAGACTCCGCATCTGGAACACGGACAGTAAAACACTTCATCAAGAATATGTGCCTTCAGCTCATCTGAGTGCCACCTGTACGTGTATATCCTGGGGACCATGCCGAACAGCGAAGGTACGTGTTAGCAAGCAGCTAACGAGGCCTGAGCAAACCACGCGTGTTTTTTATTCAGGGGCGCAGTTTTATAAAAAGTTAAAGACGCTTTGTTCGCGATAAATACGTCACGAAGTTAAACGACTCTGTTTTGTGTCATTAGGCACTCTTCATTTGGTCTCGATACAGTAGTTTGTCCACATTAGCGAGACGCACATGTTGGACCCACATGTGATAAAGAAATCACGCAGTGACCGAGTTTTCTGTTCCACGGCGGCGTACCTAAAACTGGACACAATGGAGTAAATTGAAACAATTCGTCGATTCATGTTGTTTTAAGTCGTTATTTTGTGTGTAGCTGGTATTTCTCTTGGCATCAGAAGCTATTAAATGTGTGGTGACTCTCCGAGGTCTACCTTGGTGATCAGTCTGAGACTTGGTAAGTTATGTTATTAAAACTATTGTAAATTCTAAAACGTGGCATTAAAGTTGTTTGCCGGCTGAACAAACCTAATATTTATTACTAGATTCACGTAATCAAACTGATAAGATAACTATTTATGTAAAGATTTTTGTGTAATTATTCATTAGCTAATTAATCTTTCACTGGCCTTGATGGAATACATTTTGTAGAAAATAATCGGTATAATATGGATCATGAAGAAAAAGCTACTGTAAATGTCAAGTTTCTGAAAAGAATTGAAAATACAAAAACGTCTTGAAACATGATGATTGTGATAAATCAGCTATTGTGAAATTTAAAATAAATCCGGGATTATTGCATTCAAAATTACTTAAACGTTAGTAATTTTTAAAACAAGATCGTTTTTATACATGCAGAGATCCAATTAAACAGCTGTATTCTTTTAGGGAAAATACTAATCTTCGAGGCCATTGGTTCCCAAAGTTAGGTTCAGGACTAAATTGAGTGTCAYAAAAAACAAAGATGAACACCTGAAATCACTTAAGATAAAATGAGTAAATAGGGGGAAAGTATTTGTTTGGGTTTGTTTGTGCTGTTATTAATTGGGCATGTTTGTGTAGTTCACAGGTATTTGCAGTTGCAAGTTTTTGGCATTTTTTTATGTGGAAGAAGTTAAAAATGTGAAGACCATTATGTTTTACCTGTTGTGTAAAGTTTAATTTGTTACATAGATTTATGTGTCTGCTGTTTTTTGTGGGGCTACTTTCATTACCCCAAGATGACAATTTGCAGTTATTTTATTATTTTATTTTTATTATTGTTTTTTACTTCTCAGTGGTTTACAGAGTTGTCATTGTCTTTGAAACAGTCCATGCATCACTTTTATTCTCTGACACTCCTGGGGGTAGAGTTAGAAGCAAAGAACTGCGTTAAAAATTTGAAAACCTACAGGCAAGCAGCTGTCCATGTTTTCCTGCTGCTTTAACGTCACAACTGTGTTTTGCAGGAGGGGCCTCAGAGGAAGAAGAGGAAATCAGAGGCAGCRCAGGTGGAGGGAAAGGCGGACCTGTTGGCGATGGGCACAGCAGCTGGTACTGTCCTCATCTACAGTACAGTGAAAGGAGCTCTACACTGTACCCTGGTGAGTTCGGGTCTCTGCTCACTTTAGACTACATCAGTTCTACTATATAATAACTTTAAAATAAAAGCAATTCAGGTTAAATTCACCAGTTTCCCATTTAAAAACGAGCTTTATAGTTTTATTAACATTGTTTTGTGTTCAACAGGATGGGGGTCATAGTGGAGGAGTGAATTGTGTCCACTGGCATCCTGAAGACAGCTTATTATACAGCGGCTCAGATGATACAAACATTGTRGAGTGGGACCTGCAGACAGGCAAAACACGGAGGTTAGTAACTAGTTATTTATCAAATTATAGGCAAGTTCAACTGAAGGAAATTAAACAAGACTATTAAAATCAAACAATGTGTGTATTTACTTTTAGAGTGGAGCCTGAAGTTAGATTTGCAACAGTTTCCTTCCTGTTTTGAGAGATTTTACTTTGTKTTGTAGCAGAGAGTTTTGCTTACATGTGCCACAATATTTCAATATTAACTCAGTTAAAACAGTCTGCCAATGATATTGCAATATAAWCACTTTCTGATCACATTAACATCTGCAAAGGTCGTATCCAAGGTGAAAATTAATTCATTTAAGATATGTGACGTATTCTTATCTYAATCTGATTAACATGTTTTGCTGAAGTTTTAGTGGTCTCTGATGACACTGTTTTACTGTACAGGTCATCATTTAAAGCRTTATTGATGGTACAGAGTACTGAAGCCGTTTACTGTTAAAACTGTTTTATAAGCTTCTCCCGGYGCAGTAAAAGCAACTTTCAGGAGCATCTAAAACRTCAAAGCTGTTACTTTATTGTTTGAACAACACTCAGGGGCTTTATTATTGCACTGTCAGCAGCTAAAATTCTGGACATTAATGTCACYATGACTCCTTTACTTGAAGTTAAATAAAACCTATTTGTTGTCCTTAAAATGTTGAGTGGCAAAATGTATCTCCAMAGTTTCAGGCTCTATTTATATCATTATGCTTTGATAGAATACAGTACATGGTCTTCTCTGATTGCTGCAAGAAACAATATGATCCTGTGAAAGGAGCTTTTTGAGTGCTCTCACAGCATCACGTATGCCTTTAATGTGATCACTGTGTTTTTATTGTCTGCAGTAAATGGAAAGCGGATCGTGCAGCAGTGACCAGTGTGTGTGTGAGTCCTGATGGTAAACTGCTGCTTTCAGCTGGAAAAATAATCAAGATGTGGGACTTGGATACCAAGGAGGTTTACAGGGTGAGTGTTGTGTCAGCTGATTTTTTATTTTATTTTTATGCAGACGTCTTGAATTTTATACAAGTTTTTCTTATAGGGTCTGTGCTGCGATGCAGTTTTAACATAAACAGCCAAATGTGTATTRAAGGTTTTTGGTCAGAACTGACTGTGAGGTGTTACTTTTCTCTTTCCAGAAATTCACAGGCCATTCAACAGCTGTGACGACCCTCTGCTTTGCCACCACGCGACCTCCTGACAGCAATGGCCTCTATTTCCTCTCTGGAGCTGCACACGATCGACTCCTCAGTGTKTGGTGAGTGGCTGCAGCCGGAGGCTTGTAACGATAAGCAATAAATCAATTAATCGCATGGTAAATTTTCATTTGCCTGGTTTTTCGTTTTCTTCGTGCCTCCCTCTTTTCTACTCCTTAGTGTAGGGAGGAGTGAGCTCTCACATCTGGAATTTGCCAGACGCGTGGTTAACCACTGTAGTAAGGCTGCTACGATTAGTCGACATAACTGATTAAAAAATTAGTCGACGTGGCATTTTAATATTTTAACATTGCACTGTTTACCCACATTTGTTCATTTGTAACTGCACTACAATGCATGAACTGCTGGAGGCAGAATCACTTCTATTGTCTGTGGTTGCATTGTTTACTTAAGAAGAAGCTCATAATAGCCTGCAAACTACAGGAGAAGAAAAAGAAGGCTGCAGTGAGCACATCAGAGATCAATAATAATGGCGGAACAGATGGACGATTGCATCAAGAGAAGAAAAAAGACTTAAACTTTCCAGAGTTGGCTACATTTTACTGTAAATCATCCAAAGAAAGTGAAGTGCCAACCATTCTGTGGCAGCACAGCAGCAGTGATTATATGATTATCAATAACATGTTGTTAGTTTCAGACAGTTAGCTTGTTGATGCCTCATCAAACTTATTTCAGTGACTGACCACTTCGTGCTGTAGCCACCTAGTAACCTAACCTTTGGTTAGTAATAGTAACCTAACCTTTGGTTAGTAATAGTAACCTAACCTTTGGTTAGTAATAGTAACCTAACCTTTGGTTAGTAATAGTAACCTAACTTTTGGTTAGTAATAGTAACCTAACCTAGAAAACTATGAGTATGAAGCGGATGCAATCAGTTATGCTAACGCTCGCTAAAGCATTAAGTGCCATCATAGTAACTCCCTGAATTATAGCAATAATTCATCTTAGTTTATCTTCTCCCATTGTTTGATGGTGCTGAAGCCTCATAACATTTTGGATTGCCAGATCCAACAAGATTTTAGATGGGATTGATTATTTTCTTCTTTTTTTTTTTAACCCGAATGTCCCGTTAACCAAAGTTATTGTTTAGTTTATTTTGAACTTGCAAAGCTGCAACAAGGCATGTTAACAAGCCCTCATGATGGGCAGAAACTGATATTTTGAGTGACTTGCACATTAACTGTTTAAAACTGTTTGTATTATATATAAAATTATATTTTTATTATGTTTATGTATTATTGTTAAAATACATCTTGGATAGAGGTGCGTAGTGATGTTGCAGCTTCACCAGCTGTTGTGTGTTTTAACCACACAGTCCAGGTCGGTTAATAACTTTTTTTTTTACGTTTGTAAATTTCATAAACTTCTTTAAGCTTAGGAACCGTTCCATAATTTCTGAGACAAAACATCATCCCCAAAATTTGTTATTAGGACAGGCCAGGCTTAAAGTGTGCCATATGTGGATAAAGTTTCAGTAAATTTCAGGGAAATGCATTTTTCTTGGAATGCTTTAATTTTGGCTTAGTTGTTTAAAGTACATTGTTGCGCTGCATGTTCCTGTTACTAAAACACAGTTCTTACTGTAGGCAAGTTCGAGAGGATGGAAAGGACAAAAACTCTGTAGTTTCCTTCACGCTGACAGATGAGCCACAACACATCGACCTGGTCACATCCAGCAGCAAGGAAGAGGTCAGAACAGTGGCTTAATATTCTCTTCTGATGTTAATTTGATTGTTTGTGTTAGAAATCAACTTCAATCTGAGCTGACTTCAAGTTGAAAGACTTGCTGTTTGTTAAAATGTGACTCCATTCAGTACGATGACGCTGTTATTAAATGATGTGTTTTATATTTGGGAATGTTTGTTTCTTCACAGGCGGTGAGGCTGGCGGTGGTGTGTAAAGATGGACAGTTACATCTGTTTGAGCACTTTTTAAACGGGTATGGCCCTGAACTACTCAGTACAACATCCTTTACTTCAGAGATTTTCCCGTACAAATAAAAAATAAATAAAAAAAACAGATGTTTTCATTTTTTGGTTTGTACAATTTATTAAAATTCTGAATGTTCACAAGTTAAATATCGTAAAGTTCTTTTGAACTGCAGTGAATATTTTCCAGGATGTTGTTTATTAATTTCACAACTTTAAAAAAGGCTTTCACTCATAACGTCCTCGGCCTGTCTTCATTGTATCGTTTATTTCTGTAGTAAATTGGTTACATTTTAAACATGAGAACTTCTTTTAAAGCATACAGCCTGTATCTATTAGGTGTAAATTAAACAATAACTGGGAAATAATAATCTAATAATACACATGCAGTAAACCTGTTTGAATCAGAGCAAATCCAAATTGTCAATGAAAATATGAGTAGTAACTGATAGAAACTTATATCAATGCAGGCCGTGTAAGAAGCCCTTGTCACCCTCGTGTACGGTGCAGATGTCCAACACAAAGGAGTCCCCGATGCCGATCCCACTGCTGGCAGCTGCGCTCGAAGCCGAAACTCGCTCTGTGATGCTCGCTTATGGCAACCATCTACAGCCGGTGATGGAGAGAGTGGTGAGTAGACACAATAACTTGTTTTGCTTGCATTAGGGTGTGTTTGTACCCTTTAAAACACGTTTTGAAACAGTCCTGATGCATCTCAGTAATCCAAGTAAAAAAATCAAAAAGAAAAAAATTGTATAGGTCTTCTGGACGGGTTCTTCTCTAATGAAACGTTTCGTCTCTCCTCCAAGAGACTTCTTCTCATATTTGCGTTTTGACTCCCACCACCCACTGGAACACAAGTTAGGAGTGATCAGGACTCTGTACCACAGAGCAGACAGTGTCCCTACAAACCCAGGAGCCAGGGAGAAAGAGAAATCACACACACAACAGGCCCTGGAGCAGTGTGGTTATCCTGACTGGGCTTTCCTGAAAGCAGACAGKAAACACAGACAGGACTCCATGCAACCTTCAGGTGAAAATGAAGACCCCAAACCCAGACCCAAACCAGTCGATATTCCGTATGTTGCGGGTGTTTCGGAGAAACTGAGACGTTTATTTTCTAAACATGATGTCCCAGTGGCTTTCAAACCCCAAAACACATTACGGCAAAGGCTGGTTCACCCCAAAGATCCGGTGCCCCGGCACAAACAGAACAATGTTGTATATGCTGTTAAGTTCCAGGAGGACTGCRACCAGTTATACATCGGGGAAACAAAGCAGCCACTGTTCAAAAGAATGTCCCAACACAGACGAGCTAATTCTAATGGCCAGAACTCTGCAGTTTTCACTCATTTACAGGTCAGCGGTCACTCTTTCAGAGATGAGGATGTTCTCATTCTTGATAGAGAGGAACGTTGGTTTGAGAGAGGAGTAAAAGAAGCCATTTTTGTGAAGAAAGACCGTCCATCATTAAACAGAGGTGGAGGCCTCCGTTTTCAGTTGTCCCCCTCCTACAGTGCTGCTATTGGCAGTATCACTCCACCCCGTTAACAATAGGTGTTAATTAGGTGTCAACGATAGCCATGTGATGTGAGTATCAGTCACATGGAGGCAGTGCTTAAAAGACTGAAGAAGTCTCTTGGAGAAGAGACAAAACGTTTCATTAGAGAAGAACCCGTTCAGAAGACCTATACAATTTTTTTCTTTTTGACGTTTTGAAACAGACTTTAAACTACATTTTGCAATGATTTTAAGTGATTTATTTTCTAAGAACTGAACAGAAATGATGTAGTATTTAAACATTTACAAATTTATTTGTATTTTCCATAGAAATCTTGTCTTTAACATCAGATTTACTGATTTACCTTCTTTCCTGGCTTTCATAGGAAGTCAACACAGCAGAGAGACACGTTTGCTTGACCCGAGACATAAAGACCAGCTTGTCCGTCTCGATGGAAACCACAGTCTCCAAGGTATCAAGGCTCCATTTTTCTTAACTACAAGTCACTAAGACTGATGCTCATTGCAAAATAGTTTAGGCAGTTTGATAATCCACGTGCAGAACCTGACAAAAATGAAACTTCTCTTGGGATTATCRCCTCCAGGTGAAAACTCCAATCATCGGTGCCAACAGCAAAGTTTTGGTTCCAGGACTTCCTGGGCACCAAGCTCCAGTGAAGAGTGGCTCACAAGGAAAAGGAGTGGAAAAGAGGAAAAAAGATACAAACACCAAAGAGGTAGATCTTGGCTATAGATGACAATCTATTATTTATTACTATTTCTTCTTCTCTTTTGGTTTTCAGTGAGGAAAAAATTCCCACTTGGTTTAATTTTCTCTCTGCAGATGTCCATAGCCGAGCGACTTGGTGAAATGGATTTGACTTCTGTTTCCAGTCAGAAAGAAGCTGCTAAAGTAGAGGCCTCATTACAGACGGACAACTTTGCAGTTCTGCTGGTGCAGGGTCTGGAGAGTAACGACGCAGAAATCCTAAATGTAAAGACCTTTTCTCCCTGGAGTTTAAGCTCTGCAACTGAAAAACTTGCTTATTTTGCATTAACCTGTGTATTATTGGAAAGTTTTCRGGTTTTAGTTCTACTCTCAGTGCAGGTTTTAAGAGTTTTAGAAATTGAACGGATGCATCAATGTTTGTCTTTAATGATGTAATTATTAGAATTTAATACATACTGTTTGTTTTCTTCTGCAGAAAGTTTTACAAACTCGTAAAGAAATTTTAATAAAAACGACGGTTGCTCGATTGCCTCTCCCTTCTGTTTTGCCATTAGTCGAAGAGGTAAGTTTCACACAAACTTAAAGAAATCAGATATTTCTTTAAAGATGCACTAAAATGCACATTTTTTGTTGCTTCTTTACAGCAACTTATGATGCTTTTAGCTGAAGCTCTTAATCCTTTTATCTCATTCATAGCTCACAAAGAGGCTCCAAGGGCATCCTGTTGCGTAAGTTTGAGCTAAAGGTTTAATTTGCTAAAGTTCACTTTAGTTTTTTTAATCTTTAGCACAAAAACAAAGCTTTGTTTGACATGATGTACATTTGTTCTTTCCTGCAGAGCATTTCAAATGTTGAAGTGGCTGAAGGCCATCCTCATGCACCACACATCATACCTGGCATCGGTGAGTTCATCAGCCTCTGTCACTCTCTGCCTGCACTCAGGATGTAAAGCCCTCAAGAGCTTTAACATCTGRCACCTGGGACTCTGCTTCATCTAAATTGTGCATGGTTTGTAATTCACTGTTGGATCTGTTCTCCTTCAGAACTGAAAAYTAAGGATGTCCTGATCAGATACTCRGTATCAGTATCGGTGGCTGATATGGCCATTTTTTGAAAATCGGCTAGAATCGGATTTAGTCATCTGATCRGGCCGATCCAGTTTTCACATCATGCTTTACAACTGCCATTAAGAAGTCAAGACGCACATGAGTATGCAACCATGTCCACAGTGTGGGAACACTTTTCAATGGAAAACAACGATGCTGAAACTGCATCTTGCAAAATCTGCAAACTGGAGGTTTCTCATGGTGGGAACAGCAGGGCTCGCTTTAATACTACCAACCTGGATCGGTATCGGAAAGACTAATCATTAAAAAAATCGGATTGTATCGGAAGCCAAAAAATCTGGATAGGGGCATCCCTACTGAAAAGTAGGTATGGATCGGCATCCACACATCCACGTTTTTTCACTTCAAATCTGATACCTGAATCGCCAAATTAATATCATCAGCATTATTATTATTGTTATTGTTAATAGTTATTTAATATTACCCTTGTTAATTTTATATAACTTGTAAAGCATATAAAAAGTAATATGTTAAATATGTTAACAAAAATAAACCATCATTCACCATAAACAGGTGCAGTTTTTTCACATTAAAAAAAAAATCGCCTCATTGTTTGATCCAAACACTAAACACTAAAACTGACTAAATGCTAAACACATGAAACTACACCCTAATTATAAAATCCAAATACGCTAAATGTTACAAATCTCATTACTCACTCCCTCACTCATTGTCTTGGTTTAGGAAATCCATTCCATGGTTTGCAGCTGGCCAGGTATCACTCCTTGAGTCATTTCAGCAGAAATTAAAGCACAGAAATGGCAAAATCTCCCCACGTTGGATCGGAAAATTCTGAGCCGTAGATTATGTTTGTATCAGAGCCCAGTACTGAATTGGATCGGCCCCATCCCTACTGAAAACTGTTCTATTATACTTAATTAAATGCTTTGATTGCATCCTTCTACCACACAGTGTCATTTTATCCATTCTGTAATATTACCGTTAAGTCAGATATTGTGTTTTGTCATGSTGGAAGTCTGTTGATCGTGTTGTCTTGTTTGTGTTTTCACCTTCCATCTGTTTACCAGCTGCCTGACCTGGTTACCCAGCTGGGAGTCCTTTATCACATGATCGAGAGCCGGGTGAAGATGTTCCACAAACTGACAAAGCTGCACGGGAAACTCCATCTCATAATGACACAGGCAGGTGGCATCATCAWTACCTTCTAAGTATCTAAATGAGTGCATCCTCTCAGTGGTGAAGGGTTAGATGGATGTCAGGAAGTGCTTACATACCCTCTGTTTGCACTCCTAATGTGCACTTGGAACTCTAAAAACAAGCACTGAAGCCACCTCTGTGGGCTCAGATGGCATTTGGAGATATTTAAATCTAAATAAATAGTCCTCTAAGTATTCAGGGTTTTAGTATTTCCACTCGACACTGATCATTCGTGAAAAAATTTAAACCTTGTGTTTTCTTGATGTCTGACCTGTTTGATGCTGGCATCAAATCCTCAACTCTTCTCAGTTGTGCCAGCTCAGTGGATGTGGGATTATTCCTGAGACTTTGGGAGTGTGGATGTGGAGCATTATATGTCTGAAATGCTGTCCTGCTCCAGGGTTTTCCTGAGCTGTTTTTTTTTTGTTGTGAACAACTGGTTTTAGCTGTTCTTCAATCTGGATTAGTAATAAGGAGGATGTGTACCTGCTGTAGCACATCCAGAGCTGCACTGGCTATAAAAATATTCACTGTAGTTCTGATGTTATCTCTCCCAACTCCTTCCCATTTTGTAACCATAATGTAACCTTTTTCTGTTCTTTGTATTTTCAAATCTGTTTATATAAACTGCAAGAGTTTTTCTATGCAAATTTATTATACTTTTTTTTTAACCACAACTTTTTTCATTTAGAAGTGAGTCATGCTTGTAAACAAAACAGTGCTTTATAAAAGTGACATTAGAAGCTCTGTGCGTGTTTTTGCCTTACTACTACACAGAATTACATATCTGAATCTGAAATACTCAATACTTTATTTCATTAGAACTTTTAATTTTAACAATGTACGACAGCATTTTTATCTAGCTTTAYAATTTTAACGTTATCTTATTGACAGGGTTCCCACAGGTCCTTAAAATCCTTGAAWGTTTGTGAATTTGAAAGATTTCAAGGCCCTGGAAAGTTTGTGAAAACAGCCAAAAATTACACTTGTCCTTGAAAGTCCTTGACTTTGATGTTTACCTTGTGTGGGAACCCTGTATTGATATGGAGCTTCACTTATGCCAGGTTCATACAGCAGATTTTTTTGCCCAATTTCCCTTTTCTGACAATGTTAAGGCTGGTTTGTACTTCAAGTCGCACATCTTGTCCCCCTGCTGAGTGACAAAAAATTGCGTAACTTCCATCTGCTCTCCTGATGCTATCCCCCAGTGACAGCCGTCATGTACGTTGCCCTAAGTCAGAACTGAGAWGCGGATCTTACGGCTCAGATCGTGTGATTGGTTAAAACGTTGTGGGTGTGTTTGTTCACGAGGAGCAACACGGCGCCGAGCTGCTCTTCCTTCTTCTGGAAGAGCWGCTAGTTTGATCCTATTGAACGTGAGCATGCAGCTGATGTTCTCCACCGTTAACAAAAAAAGTTTTTCCTTTGCGGACTCTTCACCCAACACAACACTGATCAGTGGAAACTTTTTTGACAGTTCAGAGGGAATGTGAAGTAGGCTTCAGAGTGAGGAGGATGTTAGGACCTCTGACCTCAAATCAGGAACATTGAACATGATTGTCTTGTCCTGATATCCCAACGTGTGGTGTTCACCTGAGGACCAACRAGCTTGCAGCCCGTTGAATGKGACGTGTGGCCAATCAGAAAGCAGCACGGAGGAGAATTGCAACAACTGCACTGGTGCATCAGAAAATCCAGTGGACATCAGAAACRTCTTTTTGTTTTTTCCTCTGTTAAAAATAATCCACAAACTGCCACCACTRCTKCTTCCTCTTCTGCCATGTTTATTTACTCAGAATTCACGTTTGATCTCGAGAGGTCTCGCGAGATTTCCTGTCTGACATCTGAGTGTTGATGTGTTGTCTTTTGTCATGTAGCTGTACACCACACACTGTAGGACCAAACCTGTTATATCTGATTTTTATAAATTATTGTCGCATGTGAGGTCTCTTCATTTCTGAAAATCAGCTGACARATTTTAAAGCTTTCCATATGAGCCAGGCTTTAATTAGTTTAAGTTAAAATCAGAAGAATTAWTGTGTTGAACCATGTTTTATTGTGACAATCTTTGATTCTTCCACTAGGTGGCGACAAGTGACAGCAGCAACGTGCTCTCTGATGTTGACCACACAGCTAAACTGGTGTATGAAGAGGGTAAGTGTTGGTGTTTCCTCTCAAGTCCCTGTAATCTCAACCCAGTCTGTTTCCCAACATGTTTTTATTTATTTTTTCTTTTAACACGTTCCTTCCTGCTGCCGGCACAGTTCCTTACACATAAAGTTTTCATGTTGTCAGCATCACAGCCCCGGTCAGCGGTGCAGTTCAGTCAGTGAGCAGAGGGAGTAAAGTGGGTGTCTGATGGAAACAAAACAAGAATCTTGTTTCAGACTCAGAATCTGCTGCTCTGCATCAGTTTTAAAGATCTGACCAGTGTTTTCTCATCATTCTGACTTGAGGTCGTCATCTTCCCGTCGACCTCTAGTCGGCTGGTCTTTTGATGACGCGCTGAATTAAGTTTTACGAAGACCGTCTCGCCCATCACGCAGTCGCTCTTGGTGATGCGCCACACGCAAACACGGCTCCTGTTGCCTGGCAACCTGACCAGCAGAGTTCCGATCCTACCCTCTGAGCGGCGCAACAAAGCTCTGTTCTGTTCCCTCTCATTTCTCATTACCGTACTGTATGAAACACTTTATTGAACCATAAAGAAAATTGGCTTTCGTGAAATAATTAACCTGCGTCTTGAGTTCCAATACGACTGCCAGCGGGCCAGGATGTGAGGCAGCATCGAACAAAAAAAAAAACGTCAATGAAAGAAGCTGATGAGCAGGAAGAGGAAGTACTTTTTCTTTTCTTTTTGTGTGAATCTTTAGTGGATGCTGCTGCTGTGGGTTTACTGTAAGTTCAGTGTGGAAATCTGACAGGAAGCTTCAAGCTTGTCTGACTAGTTGGCAAATCACAATTTGACAGTTTGCACCGTAAAAAGTTATAGTAAAGTTACTGTGAGAGTTTATATTTGTAATTCACCCTGAACTGAGGTGAGTGGCTTTAAACAATGCGCAAAGGTTTATGGATGAAACAGTTTTATTTAAAATTAGGCAGAGTTTGAAAGTTAGGTGCGACACAGGATTAGGCTGAATGTTTAGCTCCCTTGAACTCCATCTAAACATCTGCACACACACCCTAAAAATGGCCGTTTTTTTTTTTTTTTTTTTGGTTCAGCACAGGAATCTCAGAGAGCAAGAAGCTTTTTACTGGAAGACTGGGCAAAAATCCATCAAACGTCAACAGAAAGACTTTTAGAACAGCTTGTCCACTTTTGGTAACAGCCATTTGTCAAAGTGGGTGTTGAGCATGCCGAGTGCTCAGCAGGTGCCTTTAAGACCACTTTTTCCCTACAGAAAATACCCTCAAAAACCAAAACCATTCAGACAATTTTCTCCTCCTAACTGTGTGCTTTAGAAAATCAACAAACATTTACACATGAACCGGTCACTGACTATTAAAAACCATTTGAATTGTTTTTTGGTTTTTTTGCTCTAATTTTACATCTTGAAACGTGAGAGGAAGTTACTGCTCCTATCTYACCTGCATTTAAATGTTTAGATGTTTTTGATATCCCTCCATCTGTTTCCAAAACTTATTTTCCACTAAAACGACAGCGACAAGTTTTTAAAAGCTTCTCAGGAATAAAAGCTGCCGCTGAAATTTTGACTGAATCAGCAATAAATAGTTGACTCCGTCTTCAGTCSTACATGGAAACACTGTGGAGGAAGCTGTAAATTAGTCTTACATGTTTTRCTGCTTGTAGTTTTTGTTTTTGTCATGCAATGTTTGAAATCTTTGTACAGTTTTGCAGTAATAATASCAGGCTCAGTTTGACCCCGATTTTTTTTTCTGCACTGCGTTAACGTTTTGGGGCAGAAAAAGCTACAGTTAAAGCTTTCTGTTATCCTTGTTATATTTTCTTTTTATGTTTGTCATGACGTGAACAGACATCTGTTTTAGTAAATTCTGTCTCAGACTGGTCGGTCAGTGTGCTGGTAGCAGAAATGAGACATGCTCATCAAATCACTCTGTTGCCTCCACTCCCTGCTCTGCACAGTCAGTGTTTTCATAACCAAATGGCTCTGCTGTATTGAAATGCAAATTTCTCTCTGCATCTGTATAAAATGTGAACAGAAGTAGAGCTTTTTTTCTGTTTTCTTCTATTGAGAGAGGACTTGTTTTTGAACAAATGAAATGAAAACCATTTAGCCGCTGAGGGATTCATTTTCCTTTGTTTGCCCTTTGCAGAATCATCTGACGAAGATGAGGCCTCTGGTGATGAAGCTCTTCCTGATGATGAGTCTGATGTAAGTTTAACTGAAACTGTTAATAAGAGAATTTTATAAAAGGAAATGAGAAACTGCTTTTTCTCTTTTGTTTCTGAGATTCACACCAAGCTGTTTTTACTTTGTCTTTTTCAGCATTGGGAGGAGGAGGAGGAGATGGAGGATAAAGACGAAGATGGGGATCCAGACAGAACGGAACCCAAAGCAAATGGAGACGAAGACATGGAACATGAAAATGAGAGTGAAGAAGAATGAGAACAAGGCGATGTCAGTTATACATAAAAAAATGGACCTTGAAAGAGTTATATATACTTTCATTTTATTTTCAGACTTTTGATTTTATTATCAGCTTTTACAAGTCAAGTCAAGGGACACATTTGAAGCAAAGCTTGGTGAGGCTCCTGCCTCAAGATATCAAACGTGGTCTTCTCATCTGAGCAACATCCTGCAAAAATAAAATCTGTGCAAGTTTTCGGTCTTTTAGTCCAACATGCATTCCAGTTCCACATCCTGACCAGTCTGTGTAATAAAAAAAAAAAACAGTCCAACATCTTATTTGTTCTGTTTGGCCACACGTTTTCTGCATTCCAAATTTTGTGTCATGGTGTAATTACATAGACTTGTAGCAGATTGTTTGTCCAGCTTCATGTTAGTGACTGATTGGTTTATTCTGGTTAAACTCTGTGGGCCATCGGGAGCAGTGGATGCAGACTCGGTACTGGTGTGGAGTTGGGATGGAGACTCGAACCCTGGATGTTTGTTTTACTGAAGACCAGAGATCTTCCCACATCATGTAAATCTGTATGTACAGTGAAGTGTTTGTATGAGCTCTTCCCTCTACAGAAAAATTTGGAATTAAAAAAAATTCCTGTGAAGTCTCATGAATGTTTTTATTGTTTTTTTAATTTGTCATTGAGTAATGACGCTTGAAAACTTTTCAGGTGAGTCAGTCAGTAACCAAGACAAACTCATTCTCACCCATTAGTTTGAAATWTAATCTTTCATAATGAGCAGTTTTTTTTAATGCCTGCTTCTGAAAAATGATTTTCCAAGAAGTAAAAGTAGCTGAATAAAATTGGTTAAATTAGTTTTGTTCTGTGTGTGTGTGTACCACAACTTTAAAAATATTATACAAGGGGTCAGACAAGGTTCATTTTTTCTTTCACAATACAGTGTGTGTGTGTGTGTGTGTGTACCACAACTTTAAAAATATTATACAAGGGGTCAGACAAGGTTCATTTTTTCTTTCACAATACAGTGAAAAAGACCTGTGCAAAACACTGAGATGTAGGTCACATTTGAAAACCTTCAGTATAAAAGTTTTTTGGCACAATTTGGAGCCTGTGTCAAAACGTATTTGAGATGGTTCTGTCATCAAATTCAAAATGACCTTTCTCACACCCCCATCCCAGGAAAAGGTACAATTTCTTAGTAACATTTAATWTGTTCCATTGTGCTTTAAATATTAGACAGAGATTATTGCATTCTGCCATTATCTTTTGCATAACGTTTCATATTTTGGTACATTTTAGATGTGAGTGTTAGAAGGGTTTTGACATGTCCTACTTATGAGAGGCCCTTTAGTCCATGTGAGAGTTTGATAGTATGTATGAGAGGGTTTGATAGTACATGTGAGAGCAAGTTTGAATTATGGCCTAAAGGGCCTCTCATACCTACAGGTTCATTTGTGGTCACAGTGTTTTAAATGTATTTTTTTTTTGTGTGTGCTCTGGTTTTCTATCACCCTTCCATGTCTTTAGATTTCTCTGTGTCCACACTATCCTTTAAGTGCTCAGATAAAGTAACAGAGTTTAATTTGGAAGATGGAGTGAATTTATGATGTTTGAAGTTGGCTGGGTTGGTGTGGGGGAGTCGGGTTCTGTGCTGCAGCATCACTTTATGATTTAGGCCAACAAGACAGGTAGGACGTGTGAATCGTGTCTCAAAGTGCTTCTCTTGTCTTAGTTGTTTTGAACGCTGAAGGAGGACAATCCATCATGTGCTCGCCTGGTGGTTTTTGTTCTTCTCTGCAGGAGGTCGGCCTGCATACCAAACATATCAGGCCCATAAACAAATCCTTCGGGGAAAGTGCAGTCCTGTCATGGGTTTGATGAAGCTCAAATCATCCATCTTCTTCAAAAGAAGWGAAAAGTTGACTTCATGCCAGATTGAATTTTGGGTAATTGCATTTGTCAAGTCACAAAAGCTCATATTGTTAACCACTTCATCAAATCTTTCAATATTACAACMGATGACAAGTATGTAAAATTGGGTCTCAAAACAATGTCTGCTGCTTATTGACTTGGTTCAATCCAGATTTAATAAACGGCACTAACAAGGCAAACAAGTTGAAGTTAACTGAGCCATACATCTAAAATATTTTGGTCACTTTCTTTTTACCACTCTGTTAAATGGTTGAATCCTCAGTTGCATGGTAGACATGTAATGCCACGTCATTTAACTGACAGTGAGAGAAAGAAATCAATCTGGCTGTAATAAAATTCTGTTGCGTTGTATCTGATAAAATTTAGTAAAAGTGCAAAAAGTGAAAAGAAATTTTCCATCTTGAGGAGTAATGAAAGTCAGGTGTCAATGCAGAGCCAGGAGGAAGTGAGGTGGATGAATAGGTAAAAAATAAAATAAATAAAGACTGAAGCAGCTTTCTAGCTTTGAAATGAAAAAAAGCTACACAACCAAGGCCTATTTTGTGTTTCAAATAAAACTCACTGTGTCTATTTTTAATAAAGTCTCGAAGTTTTCTTTTGTTATTAAACACTTAATGTCTCTTCAGACAAACCTGTAAGCATAACATTGAAACATGTCAGGTAGGCCTATATAGGGGCAGGGCTATTCAGCTGGTGGCCCGTGGGCCAGAGTGACCAACGTTCGGCCCACCAATTGGTTCATTCATCTCTTAAACCGAAACCCCCCGTTTCCTACTTTAATTACTATAAATGCTTTTAATTAGTCATAGGCATGTTTGGTATCTACAGAATCAGAATCTTGGCTAGAAGCTGGTAAAAAAAAAAACATTTCTGCGCACACTCAAGACAGTTCAAATTACAAGCAGTTGAAGATAAACCTATGAAAGTGAAAAAACAATTGGAGATGTAAAAATAATATTTGTGTTAAATAGGAGGCAGAATGTGTTATTTTTTGGTTTTGATATTATTATCATCACTACTTTTATTACATAGGGTTCTGTCTGTTGTATTCATGATTAAATGCAGCAAAATAAACTATTTCAAAGCTAACAGATCTTTGTAATACTTGGTTTATTTACATAATGACTTTAATTGCTGGACATTTGGTCTCTGTGCTTTTGGCTGGCAGTAACT